TGGTTTGTTTTTTTTTTTTTTTTTTTTGTGGGGAGGGAAAAGAGAAGTGGAAACCGATAAGAAAGATTTCGTATCTGATTGTAGGGGTGACCTTTTGTGTGTGAGTGCATGGATATTTGGCATGCGTGCCACGGGCTTCGTGTGTAGATGTATTTAGAAGTGATTGAAGGAAGCAGTGTTGCCATATGCTTCCCTTGCATGACACGGTCCCAGTAGAGCGTCCTCCCCTATCATCCCCTTGCAGTGACAGCACTCCAAGCCCTCACACTAAGCATTTCTTCTCTGGTTTGTATCTGCAGGCTCCTTGAAATCTTTTATGAAACACTAGGATGGGGTGGAGGTGGGGTGGGAGGGGGTGCGTGAACAAATGCAGCAAAGGGGGAATTTCTTGCCTCTGTGTCTTCATTTGCTCATTTTGTCTTTCCAATTATAGGAGGCTTATGTGCAGAAAATGGTAAAAGTATGCAATGATTCAGACCGATGGAGTCTCATCTCCCTGTCCAACAACAGTGGCAAAAATGTGGAGCTGAAATTTGTGGACTCTCTGAGGCGGCAGTTTGAATTCAGTGTCGATTCCTTTCAAATCAAGCTGGACTCCCTGCTGCTTTTTTATGAGTGCTCAGAGAATCCGATGACTGAAACTTTTCACCCGACTATCATTGGTGAGAGCGTCTATGGGGATTTCCAGGAAGCCTTTGATCACCTCTGCAACAAGATCATCGCCACCAGAAATCCAGAGGAAATCAGAGGAGGTGGTCTTCTGAAGTACTGCAACCTTTTGGTAAGGGGCTTTAGGGCTGCCTCCGAATCCGAGATTAAGTCCCTGCAGAGATACATGTGCTCGAGGTTTTTCATTGACTTCTCAGACATTGGAGAACAGCAGAGAAAGCTGGAGTCCTACTTGCAGAACCACTTTGTGGGATTAGAGGACCGCAAGTATGACTATCTCATGACCCTTCACGGTGTGGTGAATGAGAGCACAGTGTGCCTGATGGGACATGAGAGGAGACAGACTCTGAATCTGATCACCATGCTGGCCATCCGGGTCCTAGCCGAGCAAAATATCATCCCCAATGTGGCCAATGTCACCTGCTATTACCAGCCAGCCCCATACGTAGCAGATGCCAACTTCAGCAATTACTATATTGCCCAGGTTCAGACGGTGTTCCCTTGCCAGCAGCACACATACTCTACTTGGCTGCCCTGTAATTAAGGACCGAAATTAGTAGACCCGGTGGGGAGAATGTTTTCTAAGCCGTAGGAAGGGGCGACGCGCCCCTTTGAAATGGGGTGTTTTGTGCAATGATGATCTGCTCTGGTGTTCAAGCTTGGGGAAAGCTTGCGGTTCTTCTAATAAATAGCGGGAGCATGATCGAGAAAGAACCCCAAAATAATTGGATCCTACCCCAGAGCACAAGAGGCCTGTCATTAAAAGCAACCAGCTTCCCCTGAAATAAGTGAGGGAGGAATGCTTGATGACAATATGGGTTGGCAATATCTGCTCCCATAGCTTTGGCATAGAGAAGGTGGGAAAGCCTTATTTTCTTTTATTTTTATTCTTACTCTAGAATGGGATCTGCAAAAGGGAGAATATGAAAGAAACAAAACAAAAAAAAACAACAAAAAAGAAAAAAATCACAAAAAACAATTCTATATATATTCAGGAATTAAAAGTTAGAGGCATAAAGCAGAGATAAGCTGAATAAAAATGTATATTGGAATTACTGCATTTGGGGCTTGCAGCAAGTGCCGTCTATGGATTGACCGTGTAGAATGTATAGCTTGCTTGACTAGAACGCTTTACCAGAAACAGCTTGCTCCAAATGAACAGTAGTGGATTGGTACAGGTATGAAAACAGAAACACGTACGATGACAAAGTCCATTATTTCCAGCTGCGTGCATGCCTCACATTTTAAAAATGTGAGAATGCAGGAAAAGCAGCTGTGGCAAACAGAATATACTCAAGGACCAAAGATTTCACAAATAAGTTATCCGAGCAAAGAAGATACAGTAGAGTATATATATATATATAAAAGAAAAGAAAGATGTTGCTATATTTGTACACACCAACAGTAATCAAAAGTGCCTGATGCCTTCATAAAATTTGAAGTGAGGAAAAAAAAATATAGTTTTGTGGTTTAACCATGCATTTTGTTTTATCAGGGACACAAGGATTAAAAAAAAAAAAACAAACATAAGCTTGTGAATAAGTGGTGGAGGAAATGCCCTATTTTTTTTCTTGGCAAATACTTGTATAGAGTTAATGTTATGTCGGTGTGCTATTATCCTAGGTACGTGTGTGTATGTGTGTATATATGTTTGTGTGTGTATATATGTATGTGCTATAGGTGTATATCTATATATACACACACAATATATATTAATGTGGTCTAGGAAAATGTAGCAATTAAGGAATGTTTAAATAAAGTACTATGTGTTTTCCAGTTTGCAACAGGATGTCATAGGACAGTGGGCACCTTGCAGTGAATTTTTAACCCACACCTGAGAAATTTGGAGTAAATGAACCAGTCAGGATTAAGGTGGGATTCAGATAATGTCTTTGGTTGCAAGAACAAGGATTACAGTAATTCAGTGGGTTGCTTGTGAGCCATAATAATTCCACAGATGGAGAAACATATGACTGGCTGATTTTTTTTTTTAAACTATTTTGTACTGTAATGCCATTTTGACATTTAACCCACTAATGTTGTGACTGCATACCTCCATGATGTGTAATTCAGTGGAACGTGGATCAAAGATAGGTTTATTTAAACCCCCTGACAGCTAAAGAATATTGTATTAGTTGGTGATTTGAACACTAATTGTTAATATTTAAAGGAGTATTTTTAATCGAATGCGTTATGCATTCCAGGACCACTAGAATTTAGCAAATGTGAAATGAACCCTTTTTAAGAGTGTTGCAGGATTACTTAAAATTATATTTTATATATATATATAAAATATATATATATTTTTATGCAAATATTAAACATCTTTGATCTGGTTGTCACACTGCATTTACAATTTCAGTACTGTACTTTATTTAAATGGAATCACTTTACATTGGAACAATAACTATTCACTTTCATTTCCTCTCCCAAAAGACCAGCAGGGGGAAAAAGAAAAAAAAAAAAAATCAACCTTCACTGTTGTTTTCACTTCAGTGCCATCTCTGAAGGTGTTAAATACTTTGTTGGGCTTTGAAAACCTAATGACTAAGTGACACTTGACTCTTAATATTTTGCTTTTTCTTACTGAGGAAAAAAAGAGGAAAAGAAAAAAAAAAAAAAAAGAAGAAGCAAAAGGGAATTCAGGCTTTTGAAGGAAACCTCGTCGTGCCCTGCCTGGTTGCAGGCAGGGTCTGGCGTTGGAGGAGGCAGGGCAGGGGAGAGGGAGAGGACTCGTGTCCTGGCAGTGTGTTTTCCCTACGGAGCCAGCGAGGTACATCTATTTTTGTCGAGCTTTGTACTCTTCACTCTGGAGGCGACTTGACAGGAACCCGAAATTGTTTACTGAAGCACCTTCCCTGTGCGACGCCTTCAGGAAACGGGAAAGCGGGTTCGTTGCCATTCCCGGCGTTGACTCGCGGACCCTCGTCCCCATCTTTTCCCACCCTCCGGACCTGCCTGCAGCCTCCCGCCGGGCTCCTCTCCTCGCTCGTCCCCCCTGGGTACCCACCGGGTCCCCCTCCAGCCCTCCGCAGGCTGGGGGCTCCTGGCCTGCTCTTTCCCCTTGCCTCTAGCTTCTGGGAGGATTTGTGAGCGGAAGCTACTGGGGGGGTGGGGGGGGGAAGGCTGGGGAAATAGGATCAGCTGGTAATGTGGTATGTCTTCTCTCGCCACAACTATTTGCAGCAAATAAATGAGTCATCCGCTCTTGAAAAGGGTTTGAGAATCTATAGCGGTGCCACAACCACAGAACGTTGATAGGACATGACACGATGTATTTTTCCTTAGAAGGACCCCCTTTTTTCTTTTTTTTTTTTTCCGTTGCTTGAAAGAAAGTTTTGATTTACTTCCTCTCAGCTCAAATTTTATTGTGGTTTTGTTTTTTTGGTTTTTTTTTAATGATTGACAGCAGCTAGTTACCTTATAGTGCATGCAGCAGGGCTCTGAGCTAAACTGCACCTTTCAGCGTTTGCATTTTGATACATATATAATATGTTTTTATATATATTATATAGGTATTCCGGATCTGTTTTGCATATGTTAATGATCAAGTGGTGGAACTGGTGGAGCTTTGTTTTATTTGTGACTTGTAGCTTAAAAGGTGCCTGGTGTTAGAGGTGGGAAGAAGGCATGAGTTCAGGCCAAGAGTAAAATAAGAACCCCTTTTCAAAGCTGGTTTATTTCTGCGGTTTGCACACCTTCCCCTCCATGAAGTCTGACTTTTTTTTAACTGGTTTTTCCCGTCGTCTTCAGCACACTGGTACTTTTAAAGTTAACGACCGCATTCTTGCTTCCTAGACTTCATTTTTCCCATCCAATCAGATGTAAGGTTAGAACTTGTGCTAGAAGAGACAGTGCCCCTTTTAAAGAGCTGAACTGATTAAAAACATTGACCTGATTACAGTAAAACTGTTTGTGCCGCAGCTGAATTTACTGCTAACCAACAGGGCGCTGAACTTGGTTAAATGTAGCGATCATGAAATAACTGAGAGCTTTGAAATGGGGTAATTTTTTTTCCTTAGATGTAGCTGTCCTCCCAAATGCAAGAACATTTCTTCTAAAAATAGAAGGGCAATTAGAAGACCAAAAAGATGATATTTTTCTAGTTTCTCGTATTGCACTTAAATATTTTTTTATCTTGCACAAAGGCCTTCACACAAATCTTCTCAACACCTCTTATTAAATGCTTGGTTTGCATCATGTCAGAAGCTCCTACCAGTTAAAAAAAAAAAAAAAGCTTTTTTTTTATTGAGAAAATGAAGTGTGTTAGATAAAACTGCACAGAAAAGGAAAAACCGTAATTGCATATTCAGTTCCTATTTGAATATATTCTTTTGTATGGTTTTCTTTATGCAGAGAGTTTCCCTTGCAAGAAAGAAAATCAGTGTACTCTTTTGCTGTTGTAATAATGGTTTGCTAACAAAATAAATAGTAAAAAACAAAAAACAAAAAAAAAACAGCCTGCAAATTTCAAGACAGCTTGGCTAAAGCACTGCAGGCTCCTGCAGTCTGTAGGAGTCTGTGCAGATTTGCTTTCCCTCAGATTTCCTTACAACTGTTGCCTTCTGCAAGGCATCCTGTTGCAGCAAACTGCTCCTTGGATTGCTCTTTTGGAACATTTTGACTATAGGCTTTGTCACAGACCGAAAAGAAAGAGCTGATGGAAAACAGACTCTAGAGGGAACAGATTGTGAATTTTGTTTACAGCATCCAATATTTGGATTTTTTTTTTGTAAATAAAAAGAAGTTATTTTTTTCTATTGATTTGTGTCTGCTGTCTTCCGTGTCTGAAATAGCTCTGGCCTCCTCTTTTTTTTATACCAAGTTCGCTTTCACGGAAAAAGGACAAGGGCAGCACTTTGCTGAGAAGAGCAGCGTTCGGCCCCTTCCCGATTGGAGCACTAGGCGTTTTGAAAAGCCTCTCCTCGTGCCAGCCAACTTCGACCGGCTGCGCTCGGCTACGGTGAAACCTCCCCAGCCAGTGCCAAAAATCCTCACCCTAGCACTGGTCGGGCCGTGCCAATGGCCTGAAATCCAAAAAAACCGAAACATTGCCGCAGCATCCCCGTGCTCTTGCTGCTTTCCCGCTTTAGATCCCAGGACCGGGGATTGTTTCGTGATGCCCACAACTTGTGGGTGGCAAACCACTGTGCTGGCGGTGACGCGGGGGTCCTGCTGCCCTTGAGATGGATTCGATAGGGGCTGACGCCTCGACCTTACTGTTTCGGTAGGTTTTGGGAAGCAATGGGGTGCTGCTCCCTGGGTGTAAAGGCAGGGCCATCTGTAGCGGATGGGTGCTGCTGGTCCTGCAGCTCGGGGAGCGGCTGGGGAGCGGGGATGCCCATACTCGCCTGAGTCAGCTGCTGAATTGGTCCAGTTCTTCCTGCAGATTTCAAGGTTCACTCTCCTTCCCTGCCCTACAATGCTGTCCTTGTCAGCAGAGGTATTTTCTGTTTGCCGTGTTTACAGGGCAGATGCCTCTGTAATGAAGGCTCATTTCCTCAAAAGGCACTTCAAGGGAATATAAAATATTAATTTACAATGCTCGTGGCAATAATTTTTCAACCAGGGTGCCTCAGGACTGACCCAAATTTGAAAAACATTGACTGAGACGCCGCAGTATGTAGCTCTTACTAGGCTCATTCATACACGGCGCTGGGCTTGGAAGGCTCACACCGGCCAAGCGCGAGCGTGAATGCGCTTATTGTAATGATGAGTGAACCTGTATTCCCCTGTAAAAACAAACAAACAAACAAGCTGCTGGGACTGTTCATTTTTCCAGGCGCAGGAGCAGCCCCCTTGCCGAATGCTGGGCGCCTTCCGTACAGTGCCTCTTTTGAAAGCCGCCGGGCAGGGGACAGGACCGTCGGCCAGCCTGGCCGGGAGAGGGGGATGCACTTCGGCATCCCTGCCCGTGCGGCATCGCCTTTCCTCCCACGTTACTGCCAGGAAAGGGAGGGGGACGTGGCCTAATGCTTCCTCCTGTTAACTTGCTCAGTTACAAAATATTTTAGGCAGTCTGACAAAGGCGGCTGCAATGCCCAAAGACGCAGATGGAAATCGGGGGATTGGAAACCAGCTAAATCCAAATGCCTTTGCTTGTCTCTCAAAATCCCCGCCTGGATGGATGCTCTCATGCTTTGGAGTGAGTTCATTCCAGCTCCTCTGCTTAAAATTGGGGGGAATTTTTGGAGAGACGAACGCCAGTTGAGTATCTGAGGTGTTGTGAGCTCTCCTTCCCAAAGCGAGGAGGAGTATGAATGCTGTGTTTTAGTAGGTCATGGTTTTAAGGAAGGAGGAGAATTTGGGAAGAGGGAGGGTAAAAGCAAGGTGTGAGAATGTGAATCACCTGAGCGACACCACCATGGGAAGCTGGAGGACATGCTGATAGATTAAAAGTAAGATGGGGGAAATGGCTCAAATCTTTAACCTGTGTTCGACCTGCTGAAATGAGTCTGATCAGGGAAGCTGTCACTTGTAAAGATAAGTAACAGTCTGCAGTTTCTCTTGGCTGCAGGAGCACATTTTTATTTTACTGTGTTAAAAAAAAAATAAAAAAATCCCCAGGAACCCCTTTGCCCAGGAATGAAGCTGAGTGTAGGCTAAATCAACCCCACATCCTCTAGTAAATGCATCTGCAGTCCCTGGAAGGCAATAAATTAATAATGGTGAGTTCAGTATTTTAAGCTTGCTCTTGGGAAACCTTCACGAAATCTCTGCAGAGATTTTTGTAGCACAGTCGTGTGTGCCTTGTTCCCACGTGTTCGTGTGGATCCGGTCATGCCTTTCTGTAACTGCCACCAAGCATCCTCCCCCTTTTTATTTATATGTATTTTGTAGAATTTGGTGCATATGGCCCTATGCACTTAGGTAAAGCACATTCTATAGCTATGGACCATTGCATTGGAGCTGATGTAGTTTTGCAGCAATCCCCTAAATATCTACAGAAGTGTGTCAGAAGCAGCTCTGCACGTGGGGCTCTAGTCCACATGTAAGGAGCAGAAGCACAAAATCAGAATCTGCGCTTTAGAGAAGAAATACCAAGCCTTCAAAAGCCTGATAAAACATGATGAACAGACTCATCTCCTACACACTTACATAGCCTTCGGCTATTCGGAATGATTGTTTTGTGGATGCAGAATTCTACCATTTCATGTGGCTGCTAATTCATCAGGAAGTGCAATGCCAGTATGCGCCAGAAAATTTTCCTTTTGCGTTGTTTTGGGCAAAAAACTATGTCCTAAATACACACCTAAATATTATGTGCAATACACAGATATTCTCCAGGGTAAAAACATCCCTTAGATTCTGCTAATGGCTTGGAGGGCATAAATTCCCTTTTTGAGAGG